AATTTACTTTGTTAGTTGTCCCCCTTGCCACTACTAATAAGTACATGGTGTACACGAATGCCATTCCCATTAAGGCAATGTAACAAATACCATGCCTGACACAATTTACTTTGTTAGTTGTCCCCCTTGCCACTACTAATAAGTACATGGTGTACACGAATGCCATTCCCATTAAGGCAATGTAACAAATACCATGCCTGACACAATTTACTTTGTTAGTTGTCCCCCTTGCCACTACTAGTAAGTACATGGTGTACACGAATGCCATTCCCATTAAGGCAATGTAACAAATACCATGCCTGACACAATTTAGGTTCAGTAAACTTGTACAGTCTACTGATATCGTGAATGAAAGGGTCAGTAAACTTGTACAGTCTACTGATATCGTGAATGAAAGTGCTTCAGTTAGGATTCTAGCAGCTTTCTTCCTCTTTACTTGCATCTTTGCAAAGAGATTCCACCTGTAATAGTGAATCACAACTATAAACACCCAGTTGACAAGCAACCTACTAAAATAAAAACAAATGACATTGATTATGCTTAAACTAGCGTTTATCTATATTTCTTTAAAAAGTAAAGTAAAAAGTTAGAGAATCTTGTTCTCTTCTTTTTACCCTTTTACATTTAAAAACAACTTTCTTTGAAAGAATTAGATAGGTTTATTTCTTTACATCACACTTGAACAAGAAACAAAATATATTTATACTTTTCTCAGTTCTCATGCTCAACAGATCTAGTTCATTGATATACATAATATTAATTAACACTTGTTACAGGGATTAAACAGCAGTGTAATGAGAAATTCTCAAACCTTTTTAAGCTACCTTAAAGCATGACATACAAACCTGTATCATGAAAGCAACTGCAATCCTCTCAATAACCGAATTACCAAAGAACAGGATAAAAACTAAAACATATATATATAAACAAAAGTAATTTATAATATCACACCTTCATTGAATAGTTTTTTTATATGAACATTTTAATACATAATATTGATCTTAGCAATTTAATAAACTCATACTTTCTTAAACATTGTAACTCAAAGCTTACAGATTACTAATGTAGAAAATAAACAAAGTGCCTAATTAATTTTCTTTTTAAACCTTAACCTTAATAATCTGCCAAGTTACTTTTTTAGTTGTTGACTAAAATAAAGTCAATACTTCAATTATACAAGCAGAGCTTTAAAAAAAGCTATGGAAGCCCTGAGCTCAGAGACAAGTGAACCTCCACCGAACTAGACTGTTATTAATAACAGCTATGAAAGCTTGCCAACAGATTGAGTTTCAATGTTACAACCCACGTCAAGTACAGAAGTATTATTTAGCGATTGTAAAGGGGACCAAATACCAAGGAACTTCACAAATAATCCATAGGAAACTAGTAAACAAATTTGCACAACACCTTCCAAAGTAAACCTAACCATAATTATTCTCCATTATTTTATGACAACTAACAAAGTAAGTTGTGTCAGGCATGGTATTTGTTACATTGCCTTAATGGGAATGGCATTCGTGTACACCATGTACTTATTAGTAGTGGCAAGGGGGACAACTAACGAAGGTTTAACCAGTAGTTTTCTTTAGTTTCTGACTCCATCCTGTATCCCAATCATTGTTTAACCAGTAGTTTTCTTTAGTTTCTGACTCCACCCTGTATCCCAATCATTATTTAACCCCATAATAAACAACCTCCTAGTAAGTTTCGTAAGATTATCTACAGCCTGGTTATGAAAGAGTAATACTTTTTACTTAATACCTTTCATCTCAAGTAGAGAAATATTGGTTTTGGTGATTCTATTAAACTTCTTAAATCATGGGTAATCATGCAAACATTATAGCAGAGAGGATGGTAAAATTTTATACAGTTAAATATATCATGCTTTTACTCCTGCATATTCTAGATTTTATAACAGGTTCAAGCTGATAGACAGAAAATCTTAAATCACATTAAGATTCTCTTCTCATCGACAGTAAAACACTTGTATCATTTTCATCTTAGATGGCATGTTAAATAAGTTCATACATTACTTCAAGTACAATAGTTTAATATTTACAACATATAGACATGTAAAACTTTTAAATGTCTTTGGCTTGGCTAGTAAATTAATAAAACTTACTGAATACAGCAATAATAAATTTTAAGACCTTTGTTACAAATACAATAAAATAAAGTTTTAAGAGTTAGTTTTAGAAATTTTTTCCTCCCACTATTTGTGCTTCCACACACCCATTAAAAGATATTTTTAACTGACTATTTAACAGTTTCTGTAAAAGATATTAAAGCACTTATGCTGTCAGGAAGACATTACATGCCATGCATGTAACACACACATAACTTTAACACAGACAAAAAGCTAGCCCACTTGAACAATAAAGAAAGTTCTCTTGAAAACTTTGACCAAGTTAAACATTTCTAGTTTAAGAAAGGATGTTAAAAATACACAAAATATCATGCACATGTACACAAAGAACTTCAGTAAACTTGTACAGTCTACTGATATCGTGAATGAAAGGTTCAGTAAACTTGTACAGTCTACCGATATCGTGAATGAAAGGTTCAGTAAACTTGTACAGTCTACTGATATCGTGAATGAAAAATGATTGGGGATACAGGGTGGAGTCAGAAACTAAACAAAACTA